GTTCCTTTCAATGGGAGCAGCAAGCATAATAGTCGCTTTCTTTTTTTGACAGTTCTTCCAAAAAATGAGAAGTTTTTTGTCCAACAATCCATAGATAAAGGGGTTAACTGCATGTGTTGTGAAAACTCTAAGCAATACAGCAATGTCGAAAAAAACTGACGATAAATAATCGCTTTTCATGTGGACAAAGAAAGCCATAGTGACTGGGATATTTCCAATTGTGTTGAAGATGACTGTCATGACACAAACAAAGAATATTTTACGATTTCGACGATATCTTTGTTTGGTGAACGAGAAGGTGGCTACATTCTGATCTTGTGAAGTTAAGAAATTGTTTTTTTGGATAGAAAGTACTCGACCAATTTTGTAATAAATTACTGCATAGGCAGAAGTGGTAAGAAAGCAAGCAAAGATGAATACAAAACGGTGTATTTTAACAAGCGCACCATGCTCACCGTTGTCCACACATATTGGATTATATATTGCGTACCCTAGTATAAACGATACAATGTAAACCATAGCACAAAAAACTCTCAATTTTCGTTTGCTGATAGGAGTCTTCAAAGGATATGCAGAGGCACGATAACGTAGAATTGCGATTATCAACATCATAAGAGCTCCTGCTACTGCAAACAAGTATCCTGTCTGCATAAAAAGACAAGATGTTTCATAATACTCAACGTTTCTCTCAAAAAGTTTTGTCATCGAGTGCACAAAGAATTTGACCAGCAACATAAGATCACAAATGGCAAGATGTAGAACAACAAAGTTGTAGTTGCTTGTCAACAAACTTCGTCGTCGTAATATTGAGATGATAACAAGAAAGTTGCCAATGATACCAAATATGACGATAGGAATCGTAAATACGACAACAGCTATGTGCCTTTGATATGCCATTTTTTAGGTTTACTGTCTGTTGCGTGTTTGAAGAGTATATACAAATAGTTAGATTGTGTTTCTAATTGCTAGCTTTATTGTAGAGTTCACATATTAAAATGCATGCTATAATAGCTTCTAATTAATGAAGTGGAAAAATGATATGTTTTTTAACAAAGCTGCTACATGTTATATATTTAGTTTCGTCTTGCAGATACTTAAATTTAAATTCAACTGAGGCTATTGTAGCTCATTTCTCTTTAGCCAAAACAAAGTTAAGTGATAAAAACATGCTACTATTAAAAATAAGATAACGTTCCGATATAAATTCACACCATAATCTTGTCAAATCATAAAGCAGGTTAACTAAGGCCCTGTTTACATGAGACCGGAACGAAGTCAAAACCGGAATGAAAATAAACATTTGTTACTTTTTTACATAGTTACTTTTCAGGCTAGATTTACACCTGCTGGCCATTTTGTTTTTGCAATTTGGGCGCAAGGTTGTTGCCATTTCAGTCTGGCCTAAGCATTAATTTGAGTTTACATTGATGCCGGTTTCAATTAATACCGTTCTGAACTCAGTGGGATCGGTTCAGATGGCCGTACGACTTCAGACCGCTCTGTATCATTTTCGTAATGGTGCCGTGCAAACATTTACTATAAATAATACTGTAACCGACACGAGTTGGTACCGGTTTGACTTCGTTCCGATCTCACGTCAGCAAGACCAAAGTATTCTAAATATTAAAGCATGCCATAAAAATTCATTAAAATAGCTCACATAATTAAAAAACCTTTCTATGATATAAAGAAATTATGTTTGACATCGGTCAATGCACATAGAATGATTAATATTTTTAGTAAATTTTTTTTTGTTTTTAGGAGGCGGTTTTTAAAGCCTTTTAAGGGCCGAGCATTTTATAGATTGACTTTGATATTATTGTTTCGCACTTGTCACTGTGGACACTAGCGGTTTAATAAATATATATTTATTCCTAATTTCAATTTTATAGAGTTAACTTGAGAACAGGTCATTATATTTACGGCAGGTGTTGTGGCTTAAACAGATTAAGAGCAGAAGTTCAGCTTATCCAACACGTTTAATGATAAAAAGCATGTTTATCAAAGAACTTAAGTAAAATCATTAAGACCTCGTATAAATGCACATTTAAGTACTCTAAAAATTAAATTTCTTGAATTTAACCCCTTCTTTTCTTGGCTAAATTTCAAAAAGTGCTTGCACTGATCAAAAATCTAAAAACAAAATTTAACTTTTTCATACAGACGCAACAAACACGCGACGCTAAAGCCCAGTCCTCTCTAGAGGGATTAATTTGCGGATGATTTATCTCACAGCGAGCGAAAGAAATTTATTACAAATTTAATGCTCAAATCAAATAGAATACGACGCTTTCATACTTTATTGCTGAATCTTAATTTTATAAAAAAAGCAAAATTAAAGATGAACACACAATAATCAACTTATATAATGAAAACAAGACGCCTATTATGCGTTCACACGGACTATTTGAGATGGCACGGTATTGAAATCTGTCCGTCGGCCATGTTGAATGTCTTAGGCCTAGTTTATTAAACGAAGGAATGATGAAAAAACAGCGGATCCTGAGATTACAGAACAGAAAGTTTATTGTATCTGCCGAAAGGAAGAAGAACGCTTAATAGCTCAGTGTGATGGCTGCTACCAGTGGTTTCACGGAGTATGCGTTGATGTAAATCAGGGGGAAGCAGATGCAATGGAACAATAAATTTGTGGTTTGTGTTTAGGGAAAAATACTTCATAATAGTGTTTAGTTGTTTTTAAGAAATGTTTTGTATAATTATATAGGCTTTGTATTCCGAGGAAATTAAATATAATTAGAACTTGTATCATGACTATCTTGCAAACATTTTTTGCCTGATTATACCAAAAATGAATGGTGGGGACATAAGGTTGGGCACTTTGCATAGTAATAAAAATCTTAGGTTAGGGAAATAGTGCAGAATTTTAAATTTATAATTTCAAAGGCCCCACCAAAGATTCGGGTCCCCAGGTTTGGGAAAGCCGATGACACACGCATAAACGGGGAACTTTACATGAACCGAACGCATGCAAAACAAAAGATAATGGGGGAAGTTTATCTCATTTTCTAGGTAAACGAATACTTTATTAATGTTTTTTTAGGGCACCTGTCGAGCATATGCGAACGTTACTGCTTAGTTAATTCAAGAGGATTGCTTGCAAACAGAGAGCAATGAATACATAAACAGTAGAATGACCTCACTGTGCAACTCCATGCTGTATAGTAATTTAATTAGATTTCTGGCTGTGTTTTGCTATTTCAGTAATACTATTGGTAAATTCTTCTGACTGGACACCGTGTTGCAAATTATGTTAAAGTTGTGTTGCGTTCAATTGTACATTCGGGTACGTTGGGGACGATAAGGAACAATATAGAAAACATGAGTCGAACGGAAGTGAGAGAGGCGAGAGGAGGGAGAGAAGCAAGAGAAGCGAGATACTTTGAGGAGTAAGAATAAAAATTGTTTAAGAAACCAAAATTGTTAATGTGATTATTCTTCGTGTTCCGAAGACATTGGGACGGAGGTCAATTTTCGGAATACGTGGCACCTACCCACGAAGGATTGTTATTGTGATAAATTGTGAAAATTTCGTACGAGATATTACGCGTCCCATATAAACATGGCTAACGACGAAGCAAAAGTCAACATAAAATTAACTCAACTAAAGTTATCTGCTCGAAGAACAGCTAAAATATTAGATTTGGGAAAGCGAGAAACTATCGAACGACAACTGAACGCACTCAAAACAACTATGAACGAAGCTGACAATTTTAAAAGAGCTGTAGAAGCAACGAAAATCGAAAGAGAAAACGACCTTGAAGAAATCAGCGATTGGAATGCGGAAATCGAAACAAAAATAAGCGAAGCCGAAGACAAAATAAACAAGCTACAACACTGGCTGAACAATAGGAAATTAGAAGAGGAAAATCACGCTCGCGAGGAGCAACTTAAATTTGAAAAAAAAGCTTCAAGAAACAAAGGCTCAAATAAATGCAAAAATTCAAAATTCAAAGTCCGGGGACTCAAAAATAAGTGATGAAGGTATGTCGGTGAGATTACCAAAAATAAATATTACGAAATTTGAGGGGTAATACATGGATTGGCCCAGATTTTGGGGCAATTTACGGAGACGGTGGACAAGTCAAATATAGCTGCCATCAACAAATTCACATATCTGTGTGGTTTCCTTGGGCCCCAAGTTAAGCGACGAGTAGAATCATTACCTTTTACCACCAAAGGATAAATAGAGCGAAGTCAATTTTAAAAGATCAGTATGGGAAGAATTCGGAAATTATAAAAGCTTACATAAAAGAGATCATGGACTTGCCTCATATCTCCAGAGCAAACCCGTGAAAGATTGCCGAATTTAGTAAGAAGTTAAATCACAGTGTCCAAGCTTTGGAACTGAAAGATGTCCATGGAAATGCTTCCATGACTTTAGACAAACTCCCAGCCATACGTGGGGACCTTGTGAGAAATGATCCAGAATGAGAAAGTTAGGACTTTTCCAAGCTTACTGAAGCAGTCAGACAGTGTACCAGGTGAAATCCAGTCTGTGAGAAAGAGTCAGACACACCTGGATGGAAATCTAGAAGGTCAGAGAAAGTCTTTCATACCAAAGAAAAGGGGATGTGCGTCTACTATGAAGGAAATCATAAATCGGGGGAATGTAAAGTAATCAGTACTGTCAAGGAGAGAAGAGCAATATTAGTCAAAAAGAAACTTTGTTTCAACTGTACAGCAGGACAGCATCATGCTAACGCTTGCCCCAGAAAGTCATCATGCAGAAATTGCCCCAAACAACACCATAGGAGCATATGTGATGTCGCTAATCGAGAAGAAACACCAAAAACAGGTCAGACTGTGTTGACTACAGATGGATGTACTGGTGAAAGAATTTTTCCCATTGTTGTTGTCAAGATAAATGGAATTACATGTCTTGCATTGATCGACTCCGAGGCTGGAAGCTCATACATATCTGGTAAACTTGCATCAATGCTGAGGGTAAACCAATTGAGACACAAACCACTAAAGTTGACATGCTTCTAACATCAAAAACAACAAGACTGGAAATCTATGAAGGGGAAGTTGAAGCAATAGACAGTGATTATTCAATGAAGGTGAAGTTGATCAAGGTGGAGAAAGAAGAGTTACTCACAGTGGACAATTCACACTATGAAAACTTACAAAGAGAGTTTGAACACCTGAAGAATGCAAAATTTGTTGATAATGATCAAAAAGCTCAATTACCTGTACATATCGTTTTGGGAAGCGGAGAATATGCACGGATAAAAACTCGCACGAATCCTCTAGTGGGAACTGAGGGGCAACCAATTGCAGAAAAAACAAAACTCGGATGGTTTGCCATGAGCCCTGGTGTGGAACCAAACAGTAAAAGGATGTTGCTTACCCAAATTTCGCAGAAGGATTACGAAGATCTCTGAAGGTTAGATGTGCTGGGCCTAGCAGACACTGCTGAGCACGACCGATCAATGGTGTATAACGAATTCAAAGAGCAATTAACGCGATCACCGGAGGGCTGGTAAGAGACCGGTCTTCCATGGCGCGGAAATCTTCCACCTCTCCCATCGAACAAAACAGGAAGCATCAGAAAGTTAGAATCTTTAGAGCGACGATTACAGCGAAAGAAATTAACTGAAGATTACAACGCAGTAATCCAACACCAAAAGCACAATAGCATAGTTGAACCAGCAACTAACTTAGCAAAAGGTAATGATTTCTACATACCTCACAAAGAAGTCGTACGCAAGACAGCGCATTCTACTAAACTGAGAGTGGTGTACGATGCATCAGGAAAAGCTTCACCAGAAAGTCCTTCTTTATACGAATGCCTGTACGCGGGACCTACGCTAAATAACAAGCTGTGGGAAGTGCTGTTAAGAGCGCGAAGTTTTCCTGTTGTAATCACCGGGGATATTCAAAAGGCATTTCTCCAAATTCGTGTTCGCGAAAGTGAACGGGATTCTTTAGGATTTCACTGGCGATCAAATCCACAGGCTGAGGTAGAAGTACTACGGTTCACAAGAGTATTGTTTGGATTGGTTTCTTCTCCATTCCTACTTGGGGGAGTTCTCCAAACACATTTGGATCACTGGAAAAGCAAAGCTCCAGACACAGTTGAGGCTCTGAGAAGGTGTCTGTAGGTTGATGACATCATTTCAGGAGGATGCAATGTGGATGACGCACGAAAAAGGAAATTGGAAGCTAATGACATTCTGGGTGACGCAACCTTTAACCTTCACAAGTGGGCATCAAATGCAAAAGAGTTGGATGAAGGTAGTGTTAACAAAAATCATGAAGAGCAAACAGCGGCCAAACAACAATTTGGGGTGCAGCCAACTGAGACGAAGATCATGGGTAAAACGTGGAATAAAGAGAAAGATACGTTAAGTGTACAAATAGGACATTGTGGGAAATCGCCAACGAAGCGCAACATTTTAAGTCGACTGGCGAAAATTTATGATCCAATGGGAATTGCATCCCCTCTGCTTTTGCAAGGCAAACAAATCTATCGAGAGGTGTGTGACCTGAAATTACCCTGGGACGCAGAATTGATTGGTAAATTGAAGCAGAGTTGGGAGAAGTGGGAAGAAACACCTTACCAAGCGAAGGGACCGTGCCAAGAGCGGTTCTGTCGTTTCAAGAATCCGTCTGTAGCTTAGAGATTCATGGATTTGGGTATGCCAGCGGTTAAGGTTTGTGCGCAGTCGTCTACACGGTCGCTAAACAACCATCTGAAGTTACTTAGGAATAACTGGCCGCGAAATCAAGACTTGCCAAAAGAGGACTGACTATCCCGAGGTTAGAGCTTGTTGCAAGTCATATGGCCGCAAATTTGGTCTCGAATGCTAGCAATGCGCTGAGACACATTCCACACAGAAAACACTGCTGTTCAGATAGTACTGTAGCTTTATGGTGGATTAAAGGAGAGAGGGATTATAAACAATTCGTGTCGCATCGAGTGGCAGAAATCCGAGCTTCTAATGAGATCGTGTGGCATCATGTGCCAACAACCGACAATCCGGCCGACCTCGGAAGCAGAGGTGGCAAACTGACCGAGATGTGGATGAAAGGTCCTGCCTGGCTATCAGAGCGTAGTCTTTGGCCACCAGATCTTATAGTCAAACCGTCGACTGACTCCCAAAGTGAAGCAAAGGCGACGAGAGTACTTTTGAGCACGGCTATCCAGTGGTCAGACTTTGCAATATTCAGTTATATTCTTGGAAAACATTCATTGCGGAAGGCGATTCGTATTGGGGCGTGGGTGAAACGATAATGCTCGACAAAACAGAGATAATAGAAAGCATGGGCCACTGACATTTGAGGAAGTGGAAGAGCAACACATGTCATGGATAAAAATGGTACAAGCCTGAGTCGCAAAAACCCAAAGTCTCAAACGGACCTTATTCAGTTAAATGTGCAACCCGACGATGATAATATTTTAAGATGTCACGGTCGAATACAAGGAGAGTTCCCTATTTACTTGTCTGATGACGCACTGTTCACCGTGAAGTTAGTGGAAGATGCACACTTGGAAACACTCCATGGGGGAGTTATGCTTACGATGGCAAAGGTCCGAGAATAGTATTGGGTTCCTCGGCTTCGTCGACTAGTCAAAAAGCAAAAGAAGAGATACTACAGATGTAAGAGATTCACGAGAGTTTTCACAGCGAGCTCAGTAAACAGAGCATTAAATGAAGATTCAATCTGTCCCGCGCACCCTGGTGGGGAGGCCAGTTTGAGCGATTGATCGGTGTATTCAAATCATCATTTTACAGAGTCGTTGGTAAAGGACTTCTGAAATTCGATGAACTGGCAGAAGTTGCTCTGGACGTAGAAAAAATTTGCATGACTAATTGACCATTGAGCTATGTAGAAGATGATGTTGAACTCCCCGTACTGACGCCATCTTCGTTCGTACTCCAACAGACGAATGTCATCCCTGAAGTGGAGAGTCATCACATTAAGGACGGTGAATTACGGAAGCGAGCAGAGTATTTGTACAAAATCAAAACCCAATTGTGGAACAGATGGCAGAGAATAATTAACAAGTCTACGCCAAGCAATCAAGTTAACAAATCAGCAACCGAATGTCATCTGAAAGAGGGAGATATCGTTTTAATTAAGGGCGATGAAAACAGAAATATGTGGAAGATCGGAAAGGTAACGATGTTGATCCGTGGAAGGGATGGAGTTGTGAGAAAAGTCACTTCAGTGTGGAAAAATATCTCTTGAGAGACCAATCAAATGATCTATCCTTTAGAATTACATTTCGACGTCAGCAACCATCAAAAGAAGTTGCGAGAGAACGCCAAAGAATTCAGACCAAGACGACAAGCTGCTGTGGTGGCGGAGGCGATAAATCAGGAGCTAATGGAACAGGAATGAAATAAACTTCGAGACAAAGTGATATAACATGTGACTCATTCGTAGTCACATGTGGGGGAGGGTGTTGCAAATTATGTTAAAGTTGTGTTGGGTTTCAATTGTACATTCGGGTACGTTGGGGACAATAAGGAACAATATAAAAAACATGAGTGGAACGGAAGTAGAGAGAGCAGAGAACGGAAGTGAGAGAGGCGAGACGAGGGAGAGAAGCGAGATACATTGAGGAGTAAGAATAAAAATTGTTTAAGAAACCAAAGTTGTTGTGTGATTATTCGTGTTCGAAGACATTGAGACGGAGGTCAATTTTCGGAATAACCGTAATTGCAGTCACATGTGCAATAAGATATGCGTACACATAACTGCTTATTGTAGTGGCCATTTTTGTTTCCTATTCTTTTATGAAGGTCATCTACTTAAAGAGAATGGAGTTTCCTGTTTGATCAATGAAACAATGGTGACAAACACAACAATTACAACATTTGCATGTCATTTAGGCCTGTTTCAAACGTCGCATTTAGATGAGCCGAATGCATTTAAAACAAAACATAATTAGAAATTTTATCTCATTTTTTGGTTTTATGCATTCGGCTCAAATAAATGCGACGTTTTAGCTCAACTTAGATAGAACAAAGTTAACGCGTTAAACAGCTCAATTACGTATAGATAAAGCTCAATAGCATTTTGTTACATCAATATGGCAAACGAGTACATTTAATAAGACATTTCATTATGCGTTCTGTATAGCGAAAGTCAACAGGGTGAGTCGCTATTCTTCACACAATTCAGCCATGTTGGAGGTATGATACAAAAGTATATTTTATCAGTGTTATTGCTGGTTTCCAGCCGACGTGGGCGAGCAACATTGTTTGGTAAATCTCAAGAGAACGGTTGCAAGAATTGAACTTTGTCTTTATGTATTTGAACTGTCAAGCGCGTTAATGAACTTTGTTTTTACCTAAATGACATACAAATGCTGTATTTGCTCTTTACAGTTTTCATTTCTATATATGCTGTTGATCATTACCTAGTTTTTTCAACCAATCATAAACATTTACTCACACAACTGTCATATAATTGGTTTATCCCTTTTTTATCATCGCTACTTAGTATTTTAAATAACCATGAGCCTATTTTAAATGTTCCCGAGAAGCGGCATGATCCTCTTGAACCAATCAGAATAGAAGCTTTGATGACATATTCATCTCAACGTACTTAAAATTATCCATCTTCAAGCTATGAACCTAACGTTACAGAATAAGAGAAGTTATTGTGCTGAAATTTTATCCGTCCACCAGGGAAATAAGTTGAAGTACAAGAAGAGATAAATTTGTGGAGAAACCATCTTCAGGAGAAGAAATTCTTCTCTTTGAACATAAATTCATTTATAATCGAGGTAGGCTTTAATTCATTTAAAAATATCCGACTTTCTGCCAATATATCTTTTCCGATAAAAAAACTTGTTCAGCATATGCAGCTATCAGCTAAGTTGTTTTGATGGTTTCTCGATGGCAACTCTCTGAGCGATGAGAATGTAACATATATTTCATACGATGCTTTGCAAAGTGAGGCATATAAATACAGATGCATTGCTTCATTCAAATGAAATAGCTTTTGCTGTGTTGGGAAAATTCATGGTGATTGTGCGCTGTGTTAAGTTTTTGATAGGGTAAGCAAAGAAACTTTTCCAGTCATTGATATGTATTTTGCATGGATCCGCATCATGAAATGAATTTAAAGCCAGAAAAGACAGAGCCGCCATATTGAGCACTCATCATTTTACAAGGATCATGCAATGTAGATAATTGATTCCTGTAGATGAAGGCGTTTGTTATGCTTTAGTAGAGCTGTTTTTTTATGAATGTTCCGATTGTAGAAAACATTGGTAAGTTGTTAAACACGTACTTGTTTAAAACTTTGTTTTTTTATTGTCTAACAGGATCAAGATTAATGGTTCGTACTTATGATTTAGTGCTAAGCTTTTTCTAATGTCAACTAGTTTTATCAAAATTAACATTAGGAAATAACTTGCAAGTGAAAGCCAGCTATGACCAATTATTTTAATAAACAAAGTTGTAAAAATTTTGTGAAAATGTCAAAATTTGAAACAATGTTAAGCTGTTTTATAATTGTGGCTGCTCATGAAGTCACGGGATGATTTCATTGCTTATCCATGCTCTTGAGGCATTATATCTGCATGGATTGTTTGCATTTAATTTATCTGAATTCAAAGCATTTTTTGCGTGTACGTCAGTATATAGTACCATAGATCATTGGGATCATCATAGCTCATTGAAAAGAAAGTTCTTGTAAAACTTTTGGATCTTAAAAATGTGCTCAACGTTGGTATAGTTTATTACTTTTTAATCTGTTTTCGATTAGAGGGTTTTTCGCTGGATCCGCTGGTTTTCCCTCCGCTTTCATTTCGTTTTAACGAAAAATAGCGGTGCCCATATTTAAAGACAAGCGATGTGTTGATGGTATTATTCCTTCAAAGTGAAGAAAGTTTAAGAAACATTGATATCTCAGTTGGCCTTCAGTTTAACACCACAACACTGTCAATGGAAAATCCCAAAACACTTAAACATCGAGACAAATCAATTTCATTTTGTCGCAATCATCTTCATCGCGTCAATTACGACAAGACTTGCTTCATGGCCATTCAATGATTTAGTTATTTCGAAGTGTTGGCTGTCGATTAAATCACAATTGATTAGCAATATGATCGATAGTATTATTGCATGCACGTCGAAAGTTCTACTCTACTAAACGTTGCCTCGATCTTTTCCAATAGAACTGAAAATGGTTTATATTCGTCATATTAGCATTGATGATTGTGTTTTATGATCCTCACTTGAATCAGTGGTGAAAATAATGAAAGATAAATGTATTTTAATTCACTAAGATTACAGAATCCTCATAATCAAATGCATTTATAGTTGGATATTCATTCTTTTTGAGGTAGTGGTGTTTGTTGAAAAACAGACAAATGGCTATGTTTACGTTATGATGGCAAGCAGATTTAGTCGAGTGCTTTAAACATCCACTCTTAAGGACCAATCTGCCTCCCTGGAAAGCGTAAACAGAGCAAATCATCTGCTGGTTGTACGACAAAAGAAGTCCTTTACGTATTACCATGATTTCAATGGCCATCGCTATAAGCTCACTGGTGCAGAAAATTTTACCAGCTACGTGCATATGTATGTTACATATATTATTACTAAGACAAAAGCTCTTTGCTTCTAGAATTTGATGAATGACTGATGACGAACGATTG